GAGCGTGTGGAAAATTGACTTTCATGCCATCCCAAAGGTGACTTTACACTGGCAACTGAGAACTCACATTCTGCATGTGCTGAGCTGCACTGAGCAGCCTCAGGCGATGCTGAAAGACACACGAAGAGGAGTGCAACAATAACAGAGTCTAACCAGCTTGCAGCACATCCAGCAGCAGAAGCAGCCAGCCAGCCACACTACTTGGTCCTCTCCAAATATCTACACCTGCTGTAAAAGTTACACATCAAGCTACAGACAAGTGTGGTGTGGTTTTTCCTTTTAAGTATTCATCTGACTGGAGTTAAAAAGGAAGACTCCAGGCTGGTAACAAGAAGCAGAGCCAAGTGTGGTGGTGGCAGGCAGCGGGCAAGCTTCAGAAACACTGTTCTGCCAATGCACCTGCAACTCTCCCTGTTCCAGGGCTGGGCACTGCCCGAGGCCGGGCTGCCAGTGGCCAGGGCTGCCAGCTTCCCTGGGCTTGGGATGTGGACAGATGTCTGCTAGGACCTGGAATGAGGGCACCAGCCTCATCTGACTTGTGGCTGAAGAGTGATGTAGGAGTTCAGGTACCCAGAGATGAAAGGGTATTTACGTTTACCCACTGAATGTGAAAAACAAGCCCTGGCCCAGAACATGTTTTCTCTAACAGGGAAAGGGAAGGCAATGGAATTCTTAAAAACTGCCTGAATTCTCTTAGCTTCATAGATTATCACCTTGAATGTTCATGGCAGCTACATTTTCAAATCCTGAGGCAGTTACTTAAGCAGCTGTGCCAATTTTGATCTATTCACACTTAATGTAAAACTGGGTAAAAAAAAAACCAAACCAAGCAGTAGCATGGTATTAATATTAGCCCATACAAAAGGCTCTTTGTTTTTTAACTTAGAAAATTATTTCTGGTCATTTACAAAGACAGAAAATAACAAGGTGGAGGATTGTTGCTTTTCAGCAAGGGAGGGTTTAATAGATACATCATGCAAAATTTCGGCAAGGAAAACTCCTGGTCTCTGCTGGACTGTATTTCTTGTACTGCCTGACTTGTAAGAAGTTAGGAAGTTCAGACCCTCAGGAAGAATTCTGTCTCTCCTACATGGTATCAAAGAGTTTAGATAAAGGGTGTTTCAAACACCTTTCAGCTTCCAATATCTGCTAACAATCTACAGTCCTACAGCTCTCCAAAGAGAAACATCTGGGCAAGTCACATATGTTCAAATTCAGCCACCAGTAAGACCTGCCCTCCCCCTGGTATGAAAACAAGAGTCCATAAAGATCTATTTATTCAAAACTGGACTATTTACAAGGGCCACAGTGGTTTAAAAAAAAAAAAAAAGCTAAAAAAAACCTTCCATTTTTTAAACAAGAAAAATCAAGTTTTAAAGCCTTTGGAACTCCATGAGAGCTAGAGACATCATAACACCAGAAAAGGCAATGCAAGCTTATCAGTCAACAAAGAGGAGGATTTCAGCTAAAATAAGGTGCAAGAAAGATGTAACAGCTTATATAAAGCACCACTGACCTAAATACATCATCCAAGAGAGACTGCAGAGTATGAAGTTCAATGTAAAGGATTATTTAAAACCTGTTTTTCACTCACTCTTAGTTTGTAACATCTACTTCAAGTGGTTAATTGGACTGGATACACTCACATTAGCAAGCAGTTGAAGAGCTCTGTGGAAACACTAAATACAGGAGCAAAACTAGGCAGTATTTCAGTTGCTGATGAGAAGGGACAGGTGATGTTGAACACCATTCATCAAGTAGAAGCCAATCACCAGCCCAAAACAGATGAAAAAGTGACAGCATAACAAACAACTCCCAAGACATCTGATCTCAACACATCCAGCCTTCTGTTTCTAAGTTGGAGGCTCCAAAATCATTACTGTCCCCCCTTCGTTCCTCTCTTGTCCATCTACATGTTCTGATCTAAGGTTCAAGGTTGTGCACAAAGCAAACAAACCCACAGACACACTTTGAAGAGTGCCTTATAATGCACCTAGCACAAAAAGACTTCTTCAGCTGCACGAGTTTTAAATAAAATTCTCTTACATACTATATAAAGTTTCTTTGGTTAAAAAAAAAACAAATCCTCCCACGCTGATTATCTTCTGTCATGTTGAATATGCTAAAAAAAATACATTTTAAATACAGGAGAACTGGGTTTTCATTTTTTTTCCCCTCCAAGAGAATGAAGCATCTCTACACTTAATAGAAATAATCCACAAGGAGGAGAGCTCACCTGAAGCTACAGCAGGAGACCAGACTGACTTGACAGCAGATGGTCCATTCAGGGAAGCTTATAAATATACCAGCTATGAGAAAAGCTTCAGTCAGACCCTACAATCAGTGAGATAATTGCATCAGAAATTATGTCAATCCTGACACTTACAGTGCTACCTGTTTACCAGGTTCACATCCTGACACGGAGAGGACCCAAGCCAGCTCTAGTTTAAATCTGTGAATTGAATTTAATGTACAGTGCTCAACCCCAAAATGGAAACGTGTGAATGCCAAGACTTTGTGGTGCTGCTGCAGCATTGAGGTCACAAGTCTCCCAGCTGCATGGCACAGGGCAATATGTCATTTGCTAGACACCATCCTTCAAGGCATGTCCACTGGATGTCAGGAGCACCACTGCAAGCTGGCAGGGAAAGCCAGGCTTAGGGTTTCCCCCATGGTCCAATAACTGGTCTATACTATTAGACAAGTATAATTATTAGCCACATACATGTACATGTTATTATGGGAACAGAGACCTCAGTATTTCAAGAATTTGGAATTTAATGAAAACAGTACATTCCACATTGAGTTAATACCACTGAAATAACCCTTACTAAAGAGATTTCTCTTAGCTTAACATAAGACAAAGAGCTCCAGGAGCACTAAACAGATGAACTTTGAAGAAACGGCACTGTCCTTGTGCTGTCTGATGCTTTTTAAAGTGGAAGTTGAACTTCCCCCAGATGAAGCATTTACATTCTCCCCTCTCTCCTGCACGGATGGCTGTCATTGAACAGTAGGCCAGGCTGTGCCACAGATTTGATGTTTTTCTTCTCTCCGACATAAAAGTTCCATAAAAAATTTATGCCTCAGATCTCTACTCTGCTGTCAAATTTGGTTAAAATTAGAAAATGATTTAAAAAGAGAGAAAAAAAGATGGTTTCCCTAGCTATACTTTCATCAGTTTACTAGGCAGTAGCATGAGGATTGTGAGCTCAACCTCAAGAAAAAAACCCACATCCCTCAGGAGAGACAAAAAAAACCCCAAAGTGAGGAGCAGTGCAGCTTTCCCACCGCAGCCACACAGCCAGCAGCACACGGGGCTGGGACCTTCCCCTCGACGCCCCCCAGGCCAAAAGCTCTCCCAAGGCCAGACTGCCAGCCTGGCCCAGGGTAACGAGCCCACCCCAAGTCTCCCCACGTCCGCAGGAGGCGAATCATCATCCTCACAGACATTAGCCATTAACTTCCAGCGTGATGTCAGCGGGTGGAGCGATGCCAGGCAATGTCCCTGTCACGCCCCACACCCCTCCCAGCCCTCTGGGCCACTTCAGGCCCATCTCCCTGATTAGGATGCACAATCTGCCATCAAACGCCAAAGAGTTCAGAACTAAATTAGGAAGCAAGTCCGGCTTTAGGGACTGAGGCTCGGGGGCCAGAGGAGATTTCTCCATTTCTTTACACACGGGTGACTGAATTGCCTCTGAATGAGGCCATTTTACCTTCTCACCTCCCACCTCTGTAGGGAAAAGAAGTGGATTAGGACAGCAAAGGAATTAATAAAGACAGCGTGGCCTCGCAGCATCTCTCAACCCCAGAGGTATTTATGGTGGCCTCAGCAAACGTGAATTTTAAGAGGAAATTAGGAATAAATGTGTCCAGCTACATCTAACATGGGGGCAGTTCTAAATAAAGCTTTCCTGTTCTAGTAGCCTGCTAAAGAAAATGGTGTGCTTGTACACTACAGACCACAGCTCCCTTCATCTGGGTGCTCACCTCCTGCTTCTTTCCCCACCTGCCTGTAGCACTCTGCTTCCCTCACTGCAGATAGCCCATCACACACCTGAAGTATAACCACAAAAAAATGGAATGGAAGTAGGGACTGGGGAAGTCGGGTGAGATGCAGGACAAGGACAGGAACTCTTCTGAAGGCATCTGGAAACAGGGCTTTCCACAGCTCAGTCCCTGCCCTGGAGTGGGGTTGTGTCCAGGAGCAGGTTGCTGCCACCACCCACCTGGGATCTCAGGTAGGATTCTGAGCCCCCTCCAAAAATACAATTATTTATGCTGCCTGTTTGGGTCTGTAAGCCCAAGTGAGCCTCTCCTGCAGGCAGAGATGTTTGACAAGCTGCATTAGAAGCAAGCCTCAACCATGAGTGACAAAACCAGTCTGGTTTTGATCTACCCTGCTACTGTTAAGGTGTGCTGATAAAAGCAGCAGACTTTGTCACAGGAGGCTTCAAACCCACAATTATTATTTAGCTTCCTTTAGCACACCAGTCACACCATCCTCACCAAACTGGCAGTAACTTGGTTCAAATAGTCAAGTGCACAAAAATAAAAAGCATCCTCCCAAGATTGCATGTCTGTGTGTACAAGGCTTGACATGCTGCTCAGGGTGCCCTCACTGGGAAGTCTGAGGCATGTTCTGGTGTTTAGGGGCAGGGGTTGTTTATTGGGGTTTTTATGGTTTGGGTTTGTTTTTTTTTTTTTGAGATGAGTTCCCCCTAGATGCAGCACAGAGGGGAAAGAGCTGGGACTTGCTGAGGAGCAGGGAATGCAAAGTGTTTACAGTGAACCCACTCAGTTAACAGTCACCCCTTCCCTCAGCCCACCAGAACAGCAACAGAAGCACCAAGTTACTGCATTAAAAGAATGTCTTCCCTCTACTATCCAAAGCTGAATAGCAGGGAAGAAAATGGTTAGTAGCAAGAACATTTTTTTTAATCTGTTAATTACAAAGGTATAAAAATTTTACAAAAAAAAAAAAAAAAATTACACACCTGATTGGGCTCATTCAATAACCAGCCAAAGGTTTTGACCCCAAAGGCTGCTTCATGAGCAGACACATCGAGACATGTGACAGGCTGGCCATAGACAGAATGGAGAATCTTGCCAGGATCTTCTGCTTTCAGGAGATAGACAACATCTTCTGCAGCTGCCCCTGTAACATCTGGAACCAGATTAAGGAAGTTGACCTAAAAAAAAAAAAAGAGATATTTTAATTTTATTCCAGCCAAAAATTCTTTTACATCATTACTGCCACAGGCTAAACCACACACCAGTAGTTTGTTCGGTTATCAGCTATCTTGAATCATCCCAATTATGGATTAATTTCAGAGAAAGACCAAGTATCCTTTTTATCTCTGAACTTCTGTAAGTTTAGCTCCTATGATAAAATCTAGCTCACAGTCTTTAGAATAAGCCCATTAAAAAAAAAAATCATCATAATACACTAAAATGTCACATTAAAGAAGGGAGCCAGACTTAATGGACTCATTCAGATGGAGGACAGAAAGCTGTAAGGTTCAATTACACAAAGTAAATAATTGTGGCTAAAAAGTGAATATGGAGGAGGCAACACATTCATACAACTAACATGGAACAGTTGATGCTCACCCTGCAATCATTTGTGTATACCCTACACTGGGGGAAAAGTCATCCCATGACTAGGAATGCCCAACTAACAGCTCTCCTATCTTCTGTCACAAGACCAGAATGATTTTGCTCTTCCCGTTTCAGTAAATGCTTAAGATGCTGCTGAAAAGTCTCTTCATGGGAAGGGTTTGAACTCCTTAACAGCAGCGATGATTTCTAACCCAGCCTTTGAAGAGTGGGTGGTGTCCTCCTGGCTGTCTGTCCATTCCTATGAGCTTCCTTCCCTTTCAAAAATATGTTGATACTCTGAGACACAATAAAACTTCAGAGAATGGGATAGCTTTGGGTTTTTAATGAAAATAGTCTCAAAACTTCAGTGACAGAAGGTGTCACCTAAAGAAGCTGCACTAGTTGCAGCTTCACAAGTGATACTATTAACTCATCTGCAATATCCTGAATTAATCAGATAGCATTGAACTGGAATGAGACCTTGAGGTTTAGCTCCAATTCTACGCGAGAAAACTGATTTACAAAATGAGCCAACTTAGTTTAATGTTGACCAAAAAAAAAAAAAATTAAATAATTAAAGCCAGCCAACCTCCTGCACCATATGGACTTCTATTCATTTTCACTTGGAGCTTAAGCCAGCATTTCACCCTTGCTTTTCAGTGATGAAAGGCTCATCCATTAACCTGCTTCGAAATCAGAGTCTAGCTGAAAATGCTGTTATCTAGTTCAGGCAAGACTCTTGTAAGATTTTTATAAGATCCCTCTTAACTGTACCAAAAATAATTAGTGGCTCAGGAGCTCCTGAAATGAAGCCGAGTAGCCTGGAGACTCACCAATTTCTGGATTTCAAATGTTCCTGTGGTTTGCCAGAATCCTCTGTCATTAGGGCTTTCCACTTTGACCTCGAAGCCAGATGCTGTTGCTACCGTGGCACCCTCTGAACCAAGAGCTAACGCCTGGATCCTCTGGTTGTGCTGGTAATGATGGATTGGCTCCCGCCCGAACATCAGGCTCCAAACACTAATGGTTCCTGTACACAAAAAAAATAGTCTAGAGTGATCTTAGAATTTAACAAAACTTCACCTTTTAAAGATGTAAGGTTAAGGCATTTGCATGGAAAAATTTAACAGCCAGAAAAGAGGCTGTAGAGCAGGAAACCACATAGTCAGGATGCTGCACAACACCACACAAGAGGTCCAAAGGAAACCTTCCAAAACAACACACTGGCATTAGAGGCTCTGCTGCTCTCTGTAATTAATTCCTCATTTTTGACTTTCAGCTAACATTGGTAACCACCTTGAAAAAGTTTGCTCAACTTGATGTTTGGAGAAGATCATCTCGTTCGACTAGATCCTTGCCCTCAATTACCACAAAAAATAGTGAGGAAGCAGAAAATGCAGCAGAGTTCAAAAAGCTAAAGAACACAAATCCCAACGAATGCAGAAGTCAGAAGACAATACACCTGCAAGTGCCTTTTTTCCCAGCATAGATCACCAATGCTCTAGTTAAAAGCAGGGTAAGTTAAAGCAATAATCTGAATAAGAGCAACTTGAAGCAATCAGGAGTGTATCAGAAAACAGAAGGGCCAGACAGAACTGGAGACTTCTGGGCCACCTTTGCACTGAATTAAGGGAGAAGCAATCTTCAGACGTGACAGCCAGGGCTGGAGAAGCCTTCCTTCCACTTGAGCATGGCCATTAATGATGAGATGATTAATGGGAGCTCTTCCTTCAGAAGGAGACATAAAAGCTCTGACAGACAGCTGTGGACGGGCACCAATGCCAGTCTGCAAACACTCCTCCCATGTCCCAGAGGAGGTGAAGCAAGAGTGTGGTAATGAAACTGCACATAGTGAAATGGTATCTAAATGAGTTTAAATTGATTTATGTTTGCTTTTGTAAAGATTATTTGGTATCTGGAAAGTGCTACCCATGTGAAATAATGCAGATAATCCTTAAGATCCCTGTCTAATGGCACTCCCACTGAATATTTATATTCCTCGCCATGGGAATGAGTACCATAATGGGGACCATTTTTGTTTTATTAGGGATGCATATTTAAATTAATCTGCTATTTGCCTAAACAATTAGCTGCCTCTGTTTGTTTACACAAAGCCAAAACTGCAATTAGGCTTCCATCAAAAAGATAAGTCCCGACTAAAACTGTCCCGATGGAGTCATAAGGGCTCGGAGCAGAACTTCCCAAAATTACTTCTTAGCATAATGGTAATTATGTTAATTGCTTGAAAGGTAAATAACTGCTGAACTGGTTTTGAAAAGCAGAATGCTAGCTCGCATCACACACACTTAGGCTCAACCCAAGTTAACAAATACAAATGGGCAGCTCGGGCTGCCAGTCCCTCCCAGCCTGGTGTGCCCCAGGAAGCCTCAGCAGCACCTCTGCCCTTCCCAGCCAGGCCTCAGCTCCAGACTAAAGCAAATGGAACGGGGGAAATTATCTCCAGGACAAATACTGATGGTAAATGACTGTGGGGAAATCAGATCATGGATGTTAGAACTGGACTTTTTCAGCAGATGAAGAAAATTGCTGCCAAGCTCCTCCAGGCAGGGGTTTTGTCCAGCTTTTTTTTTCTTCCCCCAGGTATTTATCCCAATAAATAAATTTTTGTGAAGGGGAAAAGGAAGCTGATTTGCCTTCAGCAAAGTCTTTTGTTTATACATCTCTGTGATGAGCATTCCTCTGTTTTTAACAGAGTGTATTAATGTATGAAAATTAATGTAAAATACCACAAAAAGTCAAAGAACTCTCTGACTACAGGAGCAAACTAGAAAACCCACAATTCAGAGTTCTAGTCTCCAAATTTGGGCAACCAAATTATTATTTTGGGCAACATTATTATTATTTTTGCATTTCAAACATAACAAAAAGAGAAGAGAGGGAAAATGGCTCATGCAATAGTACAAGCAGTTCAAAACAGGTACTGTTTGGCTTGATTTTGTGTTTTTTTGCAGGTTTTTGTTTTGTTTATTTGTTCATTTTGTTGTTTTTTTTTTACCAGATGTTCAACAGAAAAATCTGTCCAAAAGAACTGAAAATTTTCCCAGGCAAACACAGCGTGTGTAACACCTGATGCACAATATGGTGGGGAAATATCCCTGGCAGTATCAAAAAAACCACAAGTGACTTGTAAGGTCACAAGTTAATGTCTGTTTAATGAAGGAGCATAATATATGGAATAAAAAGGAGAGTTCAAAAGGAATGCAAAGAGCAAGAAAAACACCATTTTCTCTCACTAGGATGAACAAATAGGCAGGAAAACATCAAGTTTTCTACAGAAAAAGCAAATTATCAATAGGTGAAGCGACTAGTAGGTCTAAAAGTGCTGCTCAGAATATTCTCTATTTCCTTGCACGAACATGAGAATGTATTTATTAGTGCACAAGCCTTTGCAACAGTCAATCCTGTTTGTGTAAGAGCAAAAAAAGCCACTGCTACAGTTAAAGTTATTAGTATGGCAACATAAAAAATATTAGGCGTAAGATTTACCAGTGCAGATGAGATCACTACTTCACATAGTGAATCTTCCTGCCTCCAGCCGTGGCCAGTACTTTATTTCCAAAGCAATATCTTTGTTAAGATGAAGTTAAGGTTGTGAACATCCAGTATCTTTTTTTTTTTTTTTTTTGAATATCGTAATCTTAAAAGTGTTAGGAAGTCATTAAACCAACATTATAAGCAATACTTCCACAGCACGCTAAAATCTGTGCCACAATTGTGATTGTTCCAATTGAATTCTAACAATAACTCCTTCAACCATTGAGACTTTACAGCTGGCTTGTATTTCATCTTGGCTTAAGGAAAGGAGTTAAGTGCAGGGAGCTGATGAAGATGGTATAATCGTTGACACTCGACATGACCACCACTGTACCAGTCACCTTGCCTATCACTTTGGCCCAGACTGTATAAAGAATTCAGGTTTGTAACTTCTAACCCAGTGTGTTGTTGAAATGTGGCCTGATGCAAGGTCCATTTGTTGCAGTTTCTCTAGATTGGAAGGTATTTGGATAAAGCATTTAACTGGGAGTCTACTGTGCCTTAGACAGCCCACTGCTGATCCTGATGGTACTCCAGTTTTGGTAAGAGGCAGCCAGCCTTACACATCTCTGCTGGATCAAAGGTGGATGGTTGGAAGCTGTCAGTGCCTGGTGCTAGAACATTCCCCTTTGCAGCTAGAAGCACAGAAGACATCCTGCAAAAGCAGCTGGTTTCCACATCTGGTTTCACATAGGTTTCCCTCTGGTCTAAAAGTCAACATGTGTATCACCATAAATAAAGTGCCTCCTCCCTATAAAATACCCTAATCCTGTGGCAAGGAAAGGCAGCATAAACACAGGGGCAAAAAGTGTTAAATCACACTTCTAAATATTACACTGGCTTTGTTCACCAGGGTAAGAGACAGGACATCTCAGGTCCTTCCCAGGGCCAGCCACGGCTGCCCACGTGTGGCACCTGCAAACAGCGAGCCCCTGGGCTAGGGGCAGGGGGGCTGTGCTTTGGGGCAGGAGATCTGACCCATTACATGATTTCCAGCAGGAGTAGGGCAGGGATCGTGCCCCTGGACTGGGCACTGGGGAGGCCACAGCTTGAGCACTGGGGGCAGGTCTGGGTCCCACAGGATCAGAAAGACCTTGAGGGGCTGGAGCGGGTCCAGAGAAGGGCAACGAAGCTGGGGAGGGGTCTGGGGAACATGATTGTGAGGAGCAGCTGAGGGACCTGGGGGTGTTTAGTCTGGAGAAGAGGAGGCTGAGGGGAGAACTTCTGGCTCTCTGCAACTCCCTGAGAGGAGGCTGGAGTGAGGTGGGGGTTGGGCTCTGCTCCCAAAGAACCAGTGATAGGACAAGAGGCAATGGGCTGAAGTTGTGCCAGAGGAGGTTTCAGTTGGATCTTGGGCAGAATTTCTTTCCTGGCAGAGTGGTGAGGCCTTGGCCCAGGCTGCCCAGGGAGGTGTTGGAGTCCCCAGCCCTGGAGGGGTTCAAACATGTGTGGACGTGGCACTTGGGGACGTGGTTTAGTGGCCATGGGAGTGTTGGGTTGAAGGTTGCATTTCATGATATTAGAGGTCTTTTCCAACCTTAATGATTCTATGATCAGCTCTTCCATGCTAAAACAACATGGCTAGTGGTTGCTGTCAGCTTTAGAAAAGATGTAGAGCAACTTACGTGTGCAGCAGCTGCAAAAAAAAAAGAGCAAAGAGAGTTCCGTATAAGCTAGAGCAGGGAATCTGGACACACTCAGTTTTCATCCTCATTCACTTCACCCTCTAAACGCAATTGCATAGAAAGGTCAGAAGCTGCTTAATTCACCTCATCTACATGATGTTTTTTTCCTGTTGTGAGTCGCAGTCTTGCCACTTCTATCTTGATTTAAACAAAACAAAATTCTTTTTCACCTTTTGAAAACATTTTGACATGTATTTTTTTTTCCAACAAGATGGAAACATTAATTTATTTCCTTGTCATTTTCAGGTAACATCATACCTGTACAAAGTACAAACAGCAGACACAACACAGGGGTGGAAATGAACACCAGCCTGAAGTCTCTAAACTCCTTACCTTGAATTTTGAGTTTCTCCCAAAACCATCTCCAGTCGGAGGGGCCACCAACAGCCAGCCAGTGTAACCTTAGTAGATACTTTGTGTTCATTAACTGCCATTTTACATTTTATTTTCATCACAATGCTGTTCCTCAACTTTTGGCAGGTACAGCAACTACTTACCATACTAAACAGAGCCTAGACCTCAGGGTTGTGACCTTACATTATCACACCAGTTCCTACCAAACATTGTCAGGTTTTATCTCCATCTCTCTTCTCACAGAGATTCCCAAGTGACACCATCCCTGTGCAGTCCCTCAGGAAAGGCAGAGATGAAGGAAGTCTGTATTTCATTCCCAAGCTGGGGACTCAAGAGGCACAATTCTCTGACCATGATGGGAAATCACATGCCCTTCATCCAAACCAAGGTTTGTGTCCAAAAGCACCCATAAGTATCTCAGGGGAATAAATAACTGCTGCCTGCTACACACAGTTTTCTTCACAAACTTCTGCCATTACTCAAGCCAGCCCGTTTCCCTGCCCTTGCTATCTTGCAGCATGGCACTTCAGAGACGACACCACATTACACCATTCCTCTCTTTGCAAAAAGGGTACAGAAGGGACAATACCCAGAAGCAGCTTTAAGGTCCCCAGGATGGACAAGACAGCAGATTTCCAGTCCCAGAAAGCAGCGCTGCCAAAATTCCCTTCCTGGAGCCTGCTAATAAGCAAGAGCACTTCTGATCCCTGCAGAAACCACCTTCCTTCGCTCCACGTTGCTACTCTGCAACTTGTGAAGCACCACCAGCTCCTCCTGACAGGTCTCAAAGCAGCAGGGCAGCATCTCCCCACCATGCCTACACGAGTACGAAGCACAGAGTTTAAAAATTAAAGGGAAAAAAAAAAAAGAAGTGGGTTCTCTTGTTGCAGCACATTGTTTTCAAGTCAAACTATGAGACTCCGGAGGGCAGGGGGGAGAGTGATGGCTAAAGTAGACTGCTGTTTCCCAAAAGCTGTGGCTCACAGCCAAAGTCAGGCAAGCATGGAGCAGATGGAGTCCTGGCAAGGCCTTTACTGTCCCTGCATTAGCAGCATCTGCTCATTACCCAGAACCCTCGCCTGCTTTATCTAATGCTCCAGGAAAAGCATTTTGATTTGATTCATTTCAGTTCGGTAACGTGCAACACAATTAGTGGTAAAATCAAACTGGAGGACTGCCAGTGCTGACAATAGGAAACAAGGCAGAAGAAATATGAGGCCAGTGGGTCGGAATTCAAAAATCACAACTGTGGCTCGAGCTGCCAAGTCCCGTTGCCCCAGGTGTACATAGAGTGCCCCCACTGAGCCCTGGCGCGGGCGGAGGGAACTTCATCTTCTCCCCACACGTTTTCCTCCGTTCACCTCTCCTTGCAGCTTGTATCTCCGAGGCTGACGCCCTCAGAAACATCCACAATTCCATCTTTCTTTAGTGCCATGGTGGAGTTACAACCCGCTTTGGCTGCAGGCATCCCAGTGAGACAAACCTTTCTCCTAGGCCTGGGGAGGCGTTTGCTGCCCCAGCCCCGCGAGGCGAGCGTGGGGCCAGCAGAGTGCCTGTCAGCTCTTCCCTCTCATCGGCTGCCAAGGACAGCGCTGCGTGAGCTCTGTTCAACTGGGAGAAACTGATGTTATCTGCACGAGTCTGCTAGCCAGGGACTCGACAGAGGAGTCTAGACTCTTTGCTTGACAGCACCACCTCCAATGCTAGCAGATGGTTTCTCTGTGTTAGTCAAACTTACAAACAAAGAGAAAAGGGAGCTGGAAAAGTACAACAAAGAACAATCAAACACATTATCTTCAAAGTGGTCTTCTCCCTCCCCGAGTTTACAATAATTCTCTCCACCAAGCTGTAAATATATGCTTCCAGATTCCAGTTAGTAAACATTTCTAAAATCAGGCTTTATGATTCCCTGTTTACATAGAAACTAATCTATTCTGACCAGGCTGCTCAAATCAGAGTAACTGCCATAATCACAGAGCCCATTAAAATCTCTCCCCAAAAGAATAAAAGATGCCGAGCTTTATGCAAACTGGTTTAGTCACACACAGGACTGATGACAAGGAATATGACAGAAAAGAAAAACCCTAGATAAATTATTAGATTAGTCAGTGGGAGACTAGAAAACAAACAAAAGACCCTCAGCTAGCCATTGTTTGGCACACTGGACAAAAAGCCAGCGCTTAAAACTATCATTGTGTTATAATTTCCTATGACTTGAATAAATAATATTAATGAGTATTTTATAATACCAGACTTGCTGTTGTCAGAAAACATCTGTCAACAAGTTTTAGCAACAGAAAACCCTTCTAGCATGCTCCATGATAGAAAAACACCTACGGATGTCAATCATCTTAAAACAGTTGTTTTCACAAATAAAGCATTTAATTTCCTCTAAAATAAAATATATGGATTAGAGATTGTTTGCATTACCCACCTTCAATTTTGTTTTCACATGCAGAAATGCCAGGATCAAAGATAGTATGTGTACAAAGCTCCCTAAATTTGAAAATACCCTTTATTCGTACCCGAGGAGAGGTTTTTAAGTGTCAAATCACACATTTTAAAGAAAGAGGACAGGAGTTGAGTTCTGCCTGAGCAACTCGGCCTAGGATCCCATCTGGCCAGCACTGACTTTTGTAATGGTTGTTCCCACGTCTAGTAGACATACAGTTGGTCTCTGGCTCTTGTTGCCCGTTATATAAACATCTAAGTATATTTAAACCAATGCATATAACCAACATTTTATTCAGGTTTCATTAAATATTAGCTTAGAGCTTTTATTTCTCTGTGTCAAAGCACATCATAACCAATCATTATGAACAAATACTTCAGCTAAGAAAAGGGGCATCCACAAACCATGCCAAGAGCAAGAGAAGAGGCAGATTAATCAGACATGCAACTTTCCCAGCACTCCCATAACAAAGCTTCCCAGCATCCCGAGGGAGTTTTGGACAGAGGAGAAGGCTGGTGGAAGAATATTTAATATTTTTATAGCAAAACAAGTTATTTGCTTAAGATAGTTTGGCTGGACTACAACCTGGCACTCAAGCTTTGTGTAGCAGTTCCAGTAGGAATTAAACATCAGTTTTAATGGGTGCTATGTTCCACTGCCTCCTAATGCATTTAGGGTTATTGGCCAACTTTCTCACATAAAAGCAAGTGTGTGTGTGTGCGTACACACAGGATTAGACACACAAAAAGCTGAGCACAGCTGCTTCATTTCTGTAAAGCCTTTTTTTTTTTTTTGGAAAAAAAAAAAAAACAGGGAGGAGAGTTGTGGTTACTTACCGTCCTCGTAAGCTGCTACAGCCAGAGAGCTGTTTATCCTCACAAAGGAGACATGTGGCTGAGGTCCAGCATCACCAGGACCATGCATTGGTTCGAGGATAGGGGCTGTGTAGTCCCAGGTGCGAGTGTCCCACAACCTCACTTCTCCTGATGTGTATCTGGAAAAGAAAGCTATTATTCATCCCAAGGCAGCTGAAGAGAGGTGGCTGCAGGAGAAGGAAGGGAGAAACAAAAAGTGTCTTAAACCCCAACGTCATTTACAGCTCACAGGCTGATTCTCCTCCTATTTACACACTCTGTGTATAAGCCCATCAGCTTTGCTCATTTTATTCCCAACGTAGCACCAAGTCTTCCAAGACAACCAGGTATATGGTGGCTACAAGAAGGACACAACTGAGCTACCATGGGTTGCCAACTATCAGTTTTAGCATTACAACTAGAATGTAAGGAGAGTCAGGCTCAGGGAAAAAAAAGGAATCAGTGACAAGTCTAATTACATCATGGCAAAACTTCCAACTGTTCCTTTTTGGTCTTGAAAAATTTGGATTGTGGTTGCACCAAGGAAAGGCTGGTTAATCAGAGCATTTACACGAGCACTCATGTACACCCACCCAACCTGCTGCTCTTCATGGAAAGAAAATTCTTAATGCCTCATCAATGGATCAGACTTCCCTACCTCTGTGAAGACTAATTGATTTATTAATACAATTAAAAGTTGTCTTTAGAATTAAAGCAGTGCTGCCTTCTTTGCAGAAGGCTCTCTCATCGAAACATCAGAAGAACTAGAGTTTAACATCAAACTAGAGCCTGTCAATGAGAAAATAAAATATCAGAACTAAACTTCACAGATAATACTGAGTGTATCTGAATGAAGGTTGTTACATGAACTACTTTGTGCCATCTATGCTGTGGACACAGCATCCTAATAAAGAAAAAGAACATTGCAGGAGAAGTAGAGACACTCCCTTTATGACTGGTCAAAGAACACACTTCAATAGCTATTTGGAACAGTTCAATAATTATTTCAGATAGATTTTGACATAACTTTAACAATTAACACTGTCAAACAGTCCAAGTCTTTCTCTGCCATAGTTGAGACTTGGATTCTGTAGGCAAATGAAGGCTGCTTCCTGCTCTGTCAGCTTTGCTGTTACATCCCAAATTCTGGGGGAAAAGGAGATGAAGAATGCTTCTTAGAAGCCTCAAAGGTCTACCACTTAGAAATCTGGCTGTCCTGTGTTCTGAAGGAAAATGAGAAAACAGCTATTTACAAAGGAGGTGAAAGAAAGTCCTTAAAGGTTTGGAAGATGTTGGACTTTGACTTGGGTGACTCAGTTCTCTGGGCAGTACCATGCAATGGGGTTACAGGTACTCTGGAGCAGATAACTCCCAACATCTCTGGGTGACAACACTCCACATCACAGGACTAATTAGAGTGCTTGAGGGGTGGTGAAATCTGTCAAGCAGCAGGAGACACGCATTAATTCCCAGCATGGAATCAGGAAGAGAGAAATGTGTGTCCTTGTTACCTGGACTCCTCTTCAGTGCATTACAAGGTAAGACCAGTGCTCCTACAGCTCTGCTTTGCTGGTGGTGTGGAGAAGAGCCCTGGCACCCATGGAGTGGTACCCAGGGAGCCATCCTGCAGGTGGACCCAGCTGCAGGGGCTCCACACCACCAGCTACAGGAGCAGCTGCTGTGGAGCTGATGGTGCCTTCCCTCACTGGCCACCTCTTCCTCAGCACCTCCTCCAGTTTCTTGCCAGGTTGTCCACCTCTGGGTGGGCAGCTGCTCTCTTTGCTGCTCTGGGACCTCTTCCTGCCAGCCATCGTGACAGTCAGTGAACATGCAGCACAATGGGGTGGGGTGGCTTTTGGCTTCAGGAGGCCACTGAGGTGTCTATGTAAAATAACCATATTCAGCTGTTCTGGCAGCTGGGGGCCCTGTTGCCTTAAAGGTGCCCTACTGTGGCAGAAGAGGAGGGTTGGGGTGCTGAGGGTCCTCTCCTGGGGATCTCTTCCCCATGTCCATTCCCAATGGAGGGACATTTCAGGGATTAGGTCTGAAACATGAGCAAGGATTTTTCCAAGGAGGCCCAGAGTCAGTTGGACTCTACTCACCCATCCTTTTGGGCATCTTAATGGCCAAGGGATTGTTAAAAATCTGTGAGGCAGATGGGGTCCTGCCACCAATTTTGGTGGAATTTGAATCAGGCCCAATGCAAGTGGGCTCCTTAGGGAGCTCAGGGAGCAGAGGGGGAATCTCTGCAGGGTCTGAGTGGTCCAGAGAAGTGAGGTGGAGGGCAAAGAGGATGAGTGCTATGAAGACTGTTGCCACTGCTCTTCCTTAGCAGAAGGACGTGTTGCTGATTTCTCAGGGTGGATGGTGATAGAGCCCTGGACACAGCTGCCATTTGGCTACTGGGAAAACAAAGGGGAGCTTTAGCCACAGCTGTATGTGTGAAGCCACCCAACATCTTAAATCACAGCAGCCATCAGTCCACCCCAAAACCCTAGTGCTCTGTGCAGAGCTGCTGCTTACAGACTCAGGTCTCAGACTCCCCCAGTCCTGGCCACGCAGGGAACAGCAAGAACCTTCTGCCAGGGTGACAGTCAGTTTGAGCCAGTCTTCCTCCCTGAAAAACCACCTGAACCCCCTCTACAACTAAGCTCCAAAAGGAACAGAACCACCAAACCTTTCTGACCCTCTGTTTGAAATAAATTTGACTCAAATTCTTATCTCTTTGTGCTTGGACCTGTTAAACAAAGGAACCATCTCTGCACCAGATCACCCTGCAGCCTCTTCATCCTCACTCCCTTCCTCTCCAGGGATGTACAGGTACACAGTGGAGCTTTCACTCCTCTGCCATGAAGCTACGCTGCTCTCCAGCCCCAGCAAGGAGCTGCTGAACAAAAGAGCCTGTTACCTGTACCTCTTGGGGGTTCAGACACTACAGAACCTCCTACAGAAGTAGTACTGAACTACTACAGTTTGGATACTACAGAACTACAGGTGGGCTCTCATGGGTTCAGATACTACAGAACCACCCACGGGAGGATCCTGGCCTCAGTGCTCGTTCCAGTTCTGCCATGACAGAGAACAAGGAGCACTGTGTGTGCCAGGAGAGCCCTGCAAGCACCCACCAAACCCTGCCTGCACGTGTCTGTCCAGAAATCCCACCAGCACACTGCAAGCTAGGACAAGTGCTTCACATTGATGAGGAAGAGGAGGGAGAAGAGCAGTAAAGCACCTTTGCCCCCATCCCTCCTGGCCCTCATGTCTCGCTCAGCAACACCACTTGCATCCTTCCCAGTGCAGCATGACAGCAGAGCAGTCCCACGTGGAAACCTTGAGGATATGGAGAGATGTTACAAGACCATGCGGGAAACAGAAGGGGAGGTCTGGGTCTGGGCAGGGAGCCAGCAGGGGGAAATGGGAGCTATAAACCATCCCCTCAGCTGACAGCAAGCTCTGCTGGCCAGCCCCACCACATGGCCACTTCCAGCATACACTGGGCCTGGACCAGAACTCAACTGGAAGAATTTCAAACACAGATGAGTCCAATTCTGTACTAAAAAAATTTAATGGTTCAACTATCCCCCCATCCCCTTTTGATGCTGAGCAACCCACTTTCAATTTGTAACCACAACAAAAGGCTTTTAAACTCTTAAAACATTGCCTTGCCATAAAAAAATAAAAAGCTGCTTTATTGCAGATAATTGGCAAATCTGCTGCACCGATATAGATGGCTGAGGAAAAGAACACTCTGTACTTCACAGAACCTATTTCTAGATAATTTCAGTCTTTCTATTCATTTCCTACCCCAACTTTTACACTTCCCTGTGAATGTTTAGTTTGGATTATCAGCTGACGAATGAAAGAACCCTAGATGGAAGTGTTCTGCTCCAGAACAGGCACAGCCCTCCAAACTCCCTCAGTTACTGATTTTTCTGTGGAGGTGGCTGTGAAAGGTCCACACAGCTTTCTGCTGGAGTGGAAAGAAAAAAAACCACAAACCAAACAAAAGCAAAAAAAAAACAACCCACCCCACATAACCCAAAATCTTTCTGTTTAAAATAATAATAAATACCTCTTATCTGCTGTAATACCAATAGCATTTAGCTTCTTTCTTCCCCCTGATGGGTGTAATGAGATTATTATTGCAGTGGCACATAAATACCCCAGCATCTGATATAAACCACTTGCAGAAGGAAAAAAAAAAAACCAACAAACCCAAACCCTACAAGTTCTGAGTTCTCAAGTTCAAAGAAAGAAAAAAAACAAACCAACAAAAAAGCCACATTACAGACCATACTTGATTTACTTCACTTAGAAAGGCTGTTGGAAATCTTGCTTTCCCAAGCACAACAGGGAGCAGAAGACAAAGACTGTGGCTTATGACCTCAAGTTTCCCTCTCTCCAGATTCCCCCTGCCCTGGTGCCTTCCAAGGTGTTTTGTCCATGCAGGGCCTGGCTTTTCAGCCCTGGCTCTCCTGTTCACCAGACACTTAGTGTTCAACAGAGACTCTCCACCCAGGTAACTCAGCTTCTTTGATGGACTTACATTTCACTTTGCTCTTCTGAACTCACTCTGCTCAGTCTATACACATGAGAAGTAGCAGCAGAAGACAGACAAGAGCTATAGGTTTCTACTACAATTACAGTTCTGTAATTCTGGACAGATATGTATACATCTGTAAAAATCAGTCTGCAAATTCATCTTAAGCTTTACAGACATGCATAAAAAAAACTTGCTGAAAAGGAGCACAAATGAGTGGGATGCATATGGTATAGAGAAACTGAATAAAATTAAACTCATATGGTATTTATAAACATACTGTAATAAAAATACCTACCCACTAATCAAAAGCATTTCAACTACTTTTTACTGGCAGCAATGTCATAATGAGATGAACAATTTCCTTGTGCCCTCTCACTTGAGTGAAAGCAGAAGGGTGAAGGAGAAGGAGCTGGGGGTTAAGAGCTGCTGCTGTCCCACAATGGCTGGGAAGCAGGTGGTGAAGTGCAGAGCACATGTGGGAGGAAGCAGAGAGGGAGGCTGGGCACTGCTCTAATGAAGTGGTGCTGAAGAGGCAGACGATTTCATAAGGAGAAAAACATCAGGAAACTGGTCAAAACACAGAATCTCATCTGAAAA